TTGTGGAGGAAACTCTCAATATTGCTATTGGTGCAAATTCATGGGCCACAGCATGTGTTGTCTAACTTGACAGTTTTAGCCTTGTGTCTTGAATGTTGATGACAGGCAGATAAATCCTAGGAGTTACTCTTCCAAAGAAAAACTAGTGACATTGTAATGCCTGGTTAAGGTGATAGTAGTAGTTAATTATCCTTTTACTGACTCACAGAATCTTTTCTTGAGTAATAAAACATAAAATGCCAAAAGAAATTGGCACACAGATCCATAGCTGTTCTCTAATTTGACTTTTTGAGATGGATGTACGTGTATTTTATCAATGGTTGAAACACATTCCTTCTATGGACAGGCATAGTGGCAGGACTGTGTACTAGGGAACTAAATCCATTTCTTCTTTCTTTTTTATCCGTGATAAAAGTGATCCTTATTGAATTTAAGTTTTGTAAAAATTTGTTTCCTTTACAAAGTCTCATTTTCAAATAAAAATTAAAAAAATGTTTATTTTTAATCTTTCATATTTAAAGTTACTTAGAGCACAAAGAGGATACAGAGAATAGCTTTTCTCAGTATATGTTTTATTCACTTTAATGATGTCAATATAACCATTATATGCAACAAATTCATTTAGGATACATGAGAATTACCATGAAATTCGACTACATTAAGCATGGGACTAAAGCACAGAAAATGTTCTTCTATCAAGGCTACCAGAACAGAGATAGTTGCATGAATTGCTTTGGTATTTATGCTTTTGTGTCTAAGCAGGGAATCTGAAATGAACAAATCTTTGTAGGTGAGGAGCAGCTAAGGCAATTGGGCTTGTCTAGTTTGGAGAAAAGGAGGCTGAGGGGTGACCTCACTGTTCCCTACAGCTTCCTGAGGAAGGGAAGGGGAGAGGGAGGCGATGAGCTCTTCTCCCTGGGATCGTGTGGTAGGATGTGTGGAAATGGTTCCGAGCTGTGCCAGGGGAGGTTTAGACTAGATCTTAGGAAGCATTTCTTTAGCGAGAGGGTGGTCAACCACTGGAACAGTCTTCCTAGAGAGGTGGTCAGTGCCTCAGGCCTGTCAGTGTTTAAGGCGTTTGGACAAGGCCCTTAATCACATGCTTGAACCTTTGGTTAGCCCTGAATTGGTCAGGCAGTTGGACTAAATGATCACTGTAGGTCCCTCCCAACTGAAATATTCTATTCTATAAATTATTCTATTATTCTAAACTATTCTATAAATTATAAATTATTTTATTTTTGTTTTTACCCTGAGGAAAATATAAGCTGTAATTCTCAAATTTAATTAACCGGGGTATATCCTGCTACAAGGCACAGCACGGTAACTCTGCAAGCCCCGAGATGAATGGTGATTATTCCTGTTTTTTCACAAAGATTTGCTGTGTTACGAGCTGATCGGTTTGGTGGACTTTTTTTCAGGAAATCCTTAGAAGCGTTTCTCTGGCCTAGTGGAGAGAAGCCTGCTCTGCAGTCAGGCTAGATACATGTATTGAGGGAACAAACAGCCCAAAGTTGATCTCAGTACAAGACAAGGAGTCCAGGTTTCAGGGTTCCTCTTTGTTTAGAGGAAGTTCAGTTTCCATCCTTTGTGTCTGTGGCTGCATAACCTGGCTGTGATCTTCTGACTGGCCTGTCAGAGTGAGTGGATGACCACAGCAACAAAACTGTGAAATTATTTTCCTGATCAGACATCCTTTAACCATACTGATAATATTAATTCACTGGAGGAAGATGAGACACTTTCGTGTGACCCTTCAGAGCAGTGGCCTTACAGACACAGGGGCACCAGCAGTCCCCTTTTGAGTCCCTCAGTCCTTTTCCCTTTGGAAGTTCAAGATTTAATCACAGGAAGTCACTGATGGGGCAGCAATTTGCCAAGCCTTGACTGAGAGTCACACATTCCTCTTCCAAACTGGAGCAGTGCAAAAGAGCTCAAAGTCCCTATTTTTTTCAGAAGCAAGCAGAACAAGCAGAGTCATTCTGCCCTTCATATTTCTTTCAATTAAATAATCATCCTCTCTTCTATTTTCTTCCTTTTTAAAGCCAGTTCCAGTCTTCTTTAGGATCCTTTCATCAGCTTACCTAAATTGCCCTGGCTAATCAGATGTCTGTAAAACCCTCTGATTATGCTAGGAAATCCGCTCTGCTCTGCTGTTGAACTTTATCCTAGTTAGCAGTGTGAAGAAGCTTGCTTTTTCAGCTAATTGGCTGAACTGAGCAGTGGAGCTCATTTCACTCCAAGCATGGGAAATGTAGATAGTGAATTACCTGTTGTGTCATATATTGATAGCCTTTCAAATATTGTTCTGGTTCCATTCTTTCCTACAGTGTTACAAGTCTACTTGACCAAGTTATTGGCAGTCTTGAGTTCTTTATATGACACTGTTTTAAAAGATGCATCTGGTTTTCCATTAATATCTGAAGTGATCCGTGTATGTCACAGCTCTCTACTACATTGTGCTACTTATCAGTACCATGTTGGCCACAGCATTACAACTACAGTTGAACACTGAGCAGACAAAAATCCTCTCAATCCAATTAGAAATGCTGTCATTAAAACAACAGAAGATTGTAACATTACAAATAAGAGACTTGAACAACAAATAACCATTTGAATCTAGGTCATTCTGTAGATCCTAAGATAATACAGTTGCAGCATTATATTCTAAAAAAAAAAATAAAACATGTTGAGGCTTCTTCTCAGAAATACTGGTATACCTTGAGCTGAGTTTCAGTTTCTTATTGGCATTTTATGAGGCTATTTGATGTTTCTGGCTCTCATGAAGCACATCTCATAAAGAGTTCCCGATGGTACATAATTTTTTACTTTCACAGGACAAAGACAAGCTTGATAACCGGCTATATTGCATAAGCATATAGCTCCAGTTCATTGGATATTTGGCATTAAATTTTGATGTGTTCCTGAGTAAAATCCATAAAGCCACTATATACGTATAATGTTTTCTATGATGTGTGTGTTCTCTGTAACCCCAAAACCTTCTATTTCTTTGTGTTTTACTGGGATTCGGGTGTCATAACTCATGTAAGAGGTATAAAACTGACCTACAGCAGAGAATATGTGTATTCAGAACCTGCTTATCCTGTTGGTCTGAATTTGTACTGACTTTATAGATACATAGGGAATACTGAGAAACCTATTCACCTTCAGAAGTCACCCTGTTCCCAGGTTTTGTTGACTGCAGGCACCTAAATAAGTGATGTTCATTTAAGTGAAAACTCTCAAATATTTTCCAATGGATGGACAATGATAAACAACAATTAATTTTATCGTCCAGCAAAGTTACCTTCAGGTATTCATTCAATCCAATCAAAGCCAGTGACCTGCTTTTCTTTGTGACCAGCTCCTTTCTTATAGTAGAACTTGCTCTATGCCAGGAATGCACTCTTGTTAGTGATGGTTATAGAAACTAAACTTCCACAATAAAATAATGTATTGTTTTTTATGCTTCACAAGTAGAATAAAATCTAGGCAAAACATTTTTGATGGATGTTTAGAATTACTAACCATTGATAAGTGAAGCCGGTGTATTTTGGGGGAGGCATTGAGTATTTTTTATCATTCAAGGTAAAATCAGTACTAAACAATCTCTCATACACCAGCAGCAATGTAATCAAACAAGCTGATCGGGTAGGAATTAAGGAATGAAGCTAATACATTTATATTATTTACTGGTGAATGTTTATAGACAAACTCTTATTTGTGTTTGAGAGACTGGAATAAAATGTTTCCCATAGGATGCCCTTTAAGCTTTAAAGGAGATGAACGCTTTCAGAAAGGATGTTAGTCATTACTGGTAGGTTGCTTGAACACAGAAAATGCAAGAAAGACTTAATTCCCCTTTTCATTAGAGCTATTATCTCTTTTCTCCCAGCTTTATACATATTCATGCCTGCTTAGAGGGTTCCTTTACACAGCTGAGCATGGGAAATGCTGTTAGTGAAAATTAGACTCCACCTTCATGTTAAAATGTGAGACAGAGAAAGTGGGCTGGAGCAGCTCATCTACTCCTGGGAACCAAATTGTTGCAGGAGAAAATATTTCTTTAACTAATTAAAATGCTAGACTAGCTTTTCCATAAATAGCATCTGCATCTTGCTGGTCTTGGACTCGATGCTTTATCTGAAGTACATTTCATGCTGGAAGCTGGGTTTTGCATTCTGAGGTCTTAAAATCAGGGAAGCATGTAAGGGAAAAATGTAAAAAGCATGCAGGAAAATAAATTTAACATCAGGTAGACAAAATAATGAAAATATGTTTTCAGATTTGAAATGGGCATACTGTCTGGCATTTCCATTGTTAACACAGAAATGCATTCAAAGCCAAATGTGGTTAGATCCCTCTGTAGTCCTGTACTTCAGACAGAATTTTTTTTTTTTGTTGCTGACTTCAGTGGCAGTAGAATTAGGGGCAGCATAGCCTTCGTGGATTTTGCATGGCAAATGTCAGCTTCTCATCACAGGACCATGAAATAAGGCAGAACAAATAATTTAGTTTGTACCTTTTGATTTTTGCAGTTCATACTGCTGTGACACAAGGTACTGACATATTTTGCATAAAGACCCAAAGTGCCTGGGGGCCCTGCCACTCCTGTGCTCTTGCTGCCAAGCAGCACTAGGGCATCTGTTCTTTCATTTGTTCGTTTAAAGGAGCATGGACATTTCTCATAAAGCTGTGCAGAAATTTGCCTTTGCTGATGAGATAAAATATAAGCTACTGTATAATACAAGATAAGAGAAGAAGGATGAAGTTCCCAGATTAGCTTTGCTGTGCCTCTGTGACTACTCTGTATTACTCCACAACCGATGCAGAATGACTTGAGTTAGGCCAGAAGCAGACTAATACTGGATAACTTCAATCTTTGTAAAGGTGACAGGAATGTGCTCATGATATCAGTCTCTAATGAAAAAAAAAAAAAAAAATCTAAGTGCCGCTTGGTTGGCTGAGGGTTTTTTCGAGAAACTGCAGCTGAATTGCTGTACAGGGTTATTTATTCTCACAGAATCCTGTGTAAAGTTTGCATATTTTAGGTCATATAATGCACTAAGCCATTTCTGTTGCTTTAAGAATGGCAAGCTGTTACTGCGTCTCATCCATGCCTGTCTTCCACACCTCCCCCTTTCACAGTAGTGCCAGAAGTTTTTCTTTTTTATCTTCCCACTCACCTTGGCTGGACAAGGAGGGTTCCACCTCCCCTGCAGCACATCAGCCAAAGGCTGTCAGCTCCCAAAGACCTCCTGCCTCTCTCTACCCGCTGTAAACCACTGACCCCAGTGGCAGGTTTCCTCTTGCACTTCCAGGCCCTTGAACCAGTCAGTGCCATTGATGAAGACCTAGAACACAGCTCAGAATTTGTCTAATTATTCCAGGTAGAGATGTCTTTTACCATGACAGCTGCACTGGACAGGCCTTGCAGTTGTACAGGGTAATGATGTTCTCCACCCTTTACAGAAATACACCAGGGTAGTTTGTGTGTGTGTGTATGTGCAACATCCCCATGCTCAGGAGCTTGTAGAACTACCACTTTTTTTGTATCAATAACCAGGACATGGCTATTGTTTGCAGGAGAATGAAATAATTTGAAAACTAAATGCTGAATTAAAAGCTTATATTGGCTCAGTTACAGAAAAACGCAAAGCTTTGCATCTGGCAGGCTAGGTTTCAAACATGTCTTTGCCAACACCGTTCCCTTCACCTGCACAAAGGCCCCGGCACGGCAGCGCTCGCCTCCCCGCAGGGGCACGGCCCAGGCCCGTGGGCAGCTGAGGGGGGCACGGCCAGACATTTCCTGAGCTGGGTCATTATGCTGAGTGGAGTCAAAACAGTACTAGAGAAAAAAAAACAGTGCAATGCATGAAGGAAAAATCTAGACTTCATCCCGCGTTGCTCAGGTGGGAGCTTTCCTTTTGTCGCAGCTTTTCCAGCCCCTGACCTGGTCCCGGGGTTTCACCTGTTACTGGCACCCGAGTTGTAATAAAGCCTTGCCACAAATTACATCCCTTCCGGTTTAAAAGTGATTTCTTGCAGACACATTTTTTAATAGCAGCAGGAAGCCTTGTTGGCAGCATATTTCAATTATGCTGTGAAGCTCATCAAGGAAAGAGAAACTGCTTTGAACACAGGAAGCTAAACAGCTAATCATACATTTGAGTGCCTATTTCCACAGGGGATGTGCAAGTACTTAAGTGTTCCTGAACTCCCAGCTCATCAGCAATCTGTTAAATGGCAACGAAGTGCAGGCTTTATTAGGAAGGGGAGGATACACACCACCCGACGATAGGCACCTGCTCTCTCTTTGCAGTCCCCAGAGGGAGAGGGGCAACTGAGACTGGGAGACTGAACCACCCTCTGGAAAAACCCTGGCTCTTTTCACTAGCTGTAGAGGAAGCCTAAAGAGACTAAATGGCAATTAAGTACCTAAAACAGCCTAGCTACTTCATTTCACCACTGCCTGATGCTGGCTGTGGACTTAGTATACCTGAGGCTAATTGCCAGGATTGATACAGCTGAACTACTTCTGTGAACTGTTACTGGAGGTAATGATGTGCCCACTAAAAAGCTCAATTTCTTTAATTTTTCTCCATTTTTAGAGTCAGATCTTTCTGTGGTATCAAAAGCAGATGTGTACATACTGGAATAAAGCTCACTTACTCTTTGGAAGCTACAGGGTATGTAGTGCATGATGGATAGTACTGCATTGCCAGGTCTGAATGGATAACAGCTATGTGGCACACTTTCTGCTGCCCAAAGGAGGGCGTCCCAGTGTCTCCAATAGCTCCTCTCAGAAGTCTCAGTAGCTGGGGAAAGTGCAAACCCGCTCTGGAAGCCTCTAAATTAGATTGGAGATTATTTGAAGCACACTCAGTGCAAGTAAATCCATTTAAGTAAACCACAAGAGCTCAGACAACTGAAATGTTACTGGGACATTTGGGCTGTCCTGAACCTTTTTGTACAGCATGGCGAAAAGAATTTTCTCCAATTTGAATCACTAGAGGATAATTATGGAAGTGAAGCTTAACTGGTGTAAAACTGGAGAGAGGCAAGGCTCAGACCCAGAACTTGTGACTTCCCAGGTAAATCTTTTCGCAGGTTCAAAATGTTCCCTGCCCCTGTAACCCACCCGTTTTCTCTGAGCACATCTTGTCCGTCTCAAGCATTCGGTAAACATGGACTTCAGCGCTAAAAGGAAAGAAAATTATTTGCATACTGTCACTGTGTTACTGGCATACAGCTTCAGCTGACTATTTAGCCAACGTGTTTGGCAGGCCTTCCCGGCTTTGCAGTGAAGATTTGTATTTTCAGCTTGCAGAATAATTACAGGGAGTTTGCAGAGGTCTGTTCGAGTTCTGCTGCATTGCAGAACTGGGGTGAGAAAGTTCATGGATCCCACCTGACTCTGTGCAGTGTCTGTTAAGTGTCACACATGCCCGAGCCTTTTTTTCACATACTTGGTTTCAAGGTGACTTGCCAAAGTCACTTTGTCTTTCTCCTCCCTGTGTCTGCATTCCTGCCTCTGGGGTTGCTCGCTATCGGTGATAGGACACCGGGTCAGGGCTCGGTTGTCTCATGTTCTTTGTGGATAATGAGAGCGGGGTGCACACATTCGGAGGCAGACAAGCAGCGCAGTTCTTTTCAAATCAGCTTGAAAATCTGCAGTTCCCACTTCCTACTGCTCTCATGCTGGGAACCTGCCAGGATCTCGAGAAGAAAAGAAGCACCGAGACAATTCACCTTTTGTCCTGGGTTTGTTAGTTAATCTCGGGACGCCTCTGTGAATAAATTCTAATCAAAAGGAACTGGAAGCAGGGGCCGGACGAGGGGCCGGTGCTGTACGGGTGGCGTTGGCCACCCCGGGGAGGGGAGGGGAGGGCAGCCCCGTCCCGTCCCGTCCCGTCCCGCCGCAGGGTGCAGCCGCTGCTCGGGGGGCACCTGGGGCGCTCCTTAAAAAACTGCTTTCCCGTGACAGTCTCGTTTTGCAAAGTCCCTCCACACCGCTCTAAGCACGGCCCCGGGGCTCAGCGCCGTGTCCGGCGAGGGGCAGCAGCGGCGGCAGCATCCCTCCTCCTTCTCTTCCTCCTCCTCCTCCCCCGCCGCCGCCTGAGAGCCGGGTGCGGTAGGCTCAGCAACCCCTTCCCTGCCTGCCTCCCTTCTTCCCTGTCTCCATCCAGCAGCCCCTTCCCTGCTTCCCTCCCTGCTTCCCTCCCCGCCTCCCTCCGCCGGCGCCGCGGGTGGGAGGTGCCCGGCGCCGCTAGAAAAGGGCGGGCAGGGGGGGGCGGCTGGCTGCTGCCGCTGCCGCCGGGGCTGCTGCCGGTGTTGCTGTTGCTGCCGCCGCCGAGGCTGCCCGAGGCTGGTTGGCAGCGAGCGAGGGCTGCTGGAAAGAGCTGAGCGGCTTGTACTTGACAAGGTACGACCTCTGCTACGGGAGAAATACGGTGGGGCTTATCAGAGAGGGACGCTTTCCTCTGGCAGTGACTCGATGCTGTTTTATCTCATTAGTGGTTTAGTTCTGTTGTGGCAAAATCCATCTGACTTTGCTAAAGATAGTGTGTTGGGCTGAGGTTGTTTTGAACCTGTGGATTGACTGGGCTTATGCCAGTCCTGGCTTTGAATAGCATCCTCTGTGCCTTGCTTGGCTGTAGTTTGTCCGAGAAGGATATTCATGTGCTTTTGCATCTCTGTTAGCAGGTGGATTTGTACTTCAACCTTTTCCCCTTTGAGGATCTCCTGCCCAGCTACAGCGATGTGGTTCTTGGAAAAGATCAGAGGATCACATGAAAATGGAAACCTCCCTAGCTCCTCCTTCCTGGGACTGCCACCTGGCCCAAACCTGCCTGAAAAAGCCCGACTGGGGGCTGCTGCTTTCCCTAATGTGCTCACCCCTGACAGGATCCCGGAATTCTGCATCCCCCCCAGGCTGACCAGCTCTGGCCCTGTTAAGGGCACCGGCTCCCACCAGGACCACAGTTCAGAGAATGCAGACCTTAATTCTTCTCAGTACAGCCCCAGCTCTTCTTTGCCACATCTCATTCAGGTGGAAAGTGCTGATGAGTTCCCAGTCCTGGAGGAAGAAAGCACCAACTCGGACCCACAGTCCCAGGCAGCGCTCTCCCTGCCTCACTTTCCCAGAGCCCCCACTTCTTACGGCTTCTGCACTCTGCTGGAGAGCCCCCACACCAGGAGGAAGGAGTCCATCTTCCACAGTGACCCACCCGGTGCTCTGCCCGGCCTGATGCTGTCTCGCTCCAGAGCTAACACATTCAGTGGCAAAGGGAGTATGTCCAATCCCATTGCTATCAGCTTTGCTTCTGTGCGGCTGCCTCCCAAGCATCTCTCTCTGCACCGGCAGGGCACCTGTGACAGCGATACTGCCTCCTCCAGCGATTCCTCCCCTTTCAGTTCTCCGCTGCTCAGCAGGTCACCTCCCAGATCCTGCTCCCTGAACAAAACACAGAGTCAGGAGGGATTGCTCTGCCGAGCGTTGAAAGCCAAGATCAAATCCAGCGTGGCCAGGAACAATTCTCTCTCCACAGAGGAGAGCAGCTCCACTGACAACAGCCCCAGTGCCATCAGGCGGGCCTCGGAGGGGCTGCTCGCCACGCGCAGCTTTAGCATGTCCTGTTCTCCCATCCTTCCCCTGGACCTGGCCCGCAGCAGGGACAGGCTGGTGGGAGAGAGCACGGTGGTGATGGACAAGGGAGGCGTGTTGAGGCTATCGGCCGAATACTGCCTAGAGAATGAAAGGCTGCGGGTCCGCCTGATCAGTGCAGAGGGTTTATACGATGACTCTGTAGAGCCCAAAAACATCAACTGCTGTATCACCTTCTCCCTGGTGCCAGGGAAAACACAGAAGCAGAGAAGCACTGTTATAAAGAGAAGCAGAAATCCCATCTTCAATGAGGACTTCTTTTTCGATGGCATTGCAGAAGAAGAACTTTACAGCCTCTCTGTAAGGATGAAAGCAATGAATAAAGGGTGCAGCATGAAACGGGGTTACACCTTAGGAGAACGGGAGTTGTCTTTAATGAGCATGTTGTCAGTGTAATGCTTTAAACATTCAAACAGACTAATTTTGTCTTCTGAAAGTTTTCTACTAAATAAAGTTTTGGGCTCACTTGTTTTTTTAAAAGAATACTTAAAGCACTGTGTTGCTTGGTATTACTCTTGTGCTGCTCTGCCTTATTTTGCTGCTTAACACTTAAAACTCTGCGAGGTATTTGCTGTTGAATTGAAAGGTGGCTGTGGAGCAGACCTCCTGCCTATAGAGTAAGACGGGGGAGGGCAGAAGGGCTGGTTTGACTTTAGGATAAAGGATTAGGCAGTCATGAAGTCAAAGCTGCTCTTGTTTATGGGTTTCAGGGTGTGGAAGGGTGTTTTTTCACTCGCTGTGGTCCCTAAGCAGGTACGTGGCATGTGCACACACGGTGCAGTGAACTCTGCTGCAGCTTCCAGGTACTAGATCAGTTAAACAGACCGTTTTGGCAGCACTCATATTTACAGAAATGAGTGTTTTAATGTGTCCTGTGTTTGGGGAGGGGGAGAGAGAGACATAGAGTTAGTTTGGGAATCGGCCCTTCTTCTGTGATGTGGATGGAGGATTTGGGCTCCCAAAGCGGGTGGAAGTTTGTGTTGAGGACAGCAAGATCAGCTTCTGCGCAGCAGGTAGAAGCCAGTGCAGACAGGGCTCCCTTTCTCTTCACAGACCTGTGCTATCAGCAATGAACAGTGAGGAGGCTCCTGCCTGGACTGACTGGAGGGGGTGATTGCTGGGGCACAGTTACCATCTATCTTCATTTACCATTCCTTGCCACGGTTGATTTCGCAGCTTTCAGGATGAAGTTGCCACGTCATTGTGTTTTGGTCAGCAATGTACCCTGGAGCTATAACCCTCAGCAATTCAGCTATTGAATCCTTTCTGAGACTGAAGCAGATAGGATAAAGTATCAGTACAGCAAGGGCAAATGATAGTTTGAGATCTCTGGGTTGAATTCCGGCTTCAGCTAATGACTTGCTGCCTACATTGTTCAAGTCCTTGTGATAAAATTAGGATAATCTCTCTCTGCCCTGTACCAGCAAATGGTGAGTGGCTGAGGCACTCGGCTTTAACACCAGGAGAAACACAGTAGCTCCTTCAGGCTTGAGGCCACTTTCCTTTTTTTTTTGTTTTTTCTTTTCCCCTCCTGCTGAAAGGCACTTGGGGTTAGCTAAAGTAGGTAAACCCATAGAAACTGCAGCTGTGTAAGTGGGAGGAGGCAGAAACTCTGTCTTGAGAGTTCAGGCCTGTTTCTGCCTCCCTTGATGAAGTTGCAGGCTTCATTATGTGAAGGTAGATAAGCCTTAATGGAGGAGCAATCCACGAAGGCCTGGGGCACAGAAAAGGAAGGTTTTCTTCTTTGTTCCCTGTGAGACTGTAGAAACAGGGCTTTGCTTGTGCCAAATTTACAGCTTAAAAGCTCTTTCAAAAAGATTTCTAGCTGATCCTCCCCCTGCCCTATTCTGGCAAGAGTGTAACTGCCTGCAAATCATGGGACTGTTCATGGGAGGTTCCAGTATTGCTTGGCCACTGAATCATTTGATTCTGTTTCAGGCTTAAGTACCCCAGGAAGGGTTTTGGTTTTGTTTGGTGTTTTGTTTTTTTTTTATTTTTCCTTATGATAGCAGAAAAAGCCCAAAGGTTGTTAACTGTGACCACGAGTGCTCAGAAAGGCCCACTGGTAATCCTTGATCCAGCTCACATGAGATGCTTCTAAAAACAGGATCCTGGTACAAAGGACAGCTTGAACTGGAGAATGGCTGGGTATATTCCCAGAAGCTGATTAAAATCAAATGGAATAATAATCCCTTTGTGCTAAAGGAAATAATTAAATGTACTGATACACTGCCCAGCTGGAGGTGATGCACTGCCACTTGTATCCTTGAATCTGGGCAAACTGACTATAAGGGAAAACCTAAAGGAAGTAGGGAGAAGTGATGTTTAAAAATGTGACTGCAAGGAGGAATCAATAATGCTGCAAAAAGTTAAGCCTATTTAATTGGTTATTGCAATGCGGCCTCCCCAAGGAAGGCAGAGGCTCCCTCTTCAGGCTCATCACTCACCCACCATCACATTTTTAGTTCTTGGGACTTAAGGTGTCTTTGCAGGTAAGCCCACATGGAGAAAGAGGCTGCGATAATACAGAAGAGTAGAGTTCCACGTGTCAGAGGATCCGGTACAGTCACACTACAGTGGGTATCTGCCCTGTGACATGCACTGTGCCACTGCCGTACGGCAGGGACGCGGAATGACGGAATGGTTGAGGTGGGAAGGGGCCTCGGGAGACTCTGTCGCTTGACTCCTGCTGAAAGCAGGGCCAGCTCCAGCAGGTTGCCCAAGACGATGTCTGGTCGGGTTTAGAGTGTCTCCAAGAACAGAGACTCCACTGTCTGCTTGGGAGACCTAATCAGTGTTCTACCACCCTAACAGTAAAAAAGCTTTTCTTTCAGCATAAGTGGAATTTCTCGCATTTCAGTCTGTGCTCATTGCTGCTTGTCCTGTCAGTGGATACCCCTGAGAAGAACCTGGCTCCATCCTCTTCACTCCCTCCCATCAGATATTCATACACATCGATGACACCTTCTCTTCTGCAGGATAACAGTCAGAGTGTAGTTACTAGTGTGAAAGGGAAGTGCTTGTATAGTCTCATCCTTCATCAGGCAGGGGGGGACTTCTTTGAGAAATTCATCCCTTCCTGTCACGGGAAGATAAGTTTCCAGCTGGGCTCATTTAGTCAGGTATTTAGAGGTGAAGGCTGCATCTTTGGTTGCTTGAAAGAAGACTCGAGCTGGTTTTAAGGCTCATTTTTTGTTGTTTACAATAGTTTACAGTTACTTATTTCTGAGAAAGCCTTCCTACAGAAGTTTGACGATAGGCCTGCGTGCTAGAGGGTGACTTGCTCCTTCAGCTGAAAGCAACTTAAGACTTGCAGACCTGATTCAAAGGCAGTGTTTAAGCTTGGGAAGGACAGCTGGACTTTGCCTGGGTTTCTCTGGTAAATAATCTAACTTCAGGTTTTCCTGATAATTTTCTTCTTTAATATAAGAACTTTGGATTTAGTACCTATTCAGCTACCTTGGTCAGACTCAGGACTAAGTATGACTGTAACACTAGATGGAAAACAGTAAACAGTTTTGGTGCCCACCCCCATTTTAGTTTGTCTTTTTACATATTAGGGTATTTGATCCTTTTTGAGCTGTGGGATGTTGCTTATCAGGGTGTTGTTCTTATTAGCAATTCAAAGCCATAACACAAGTGTTAGAGGGCATAGGACTTGTTTTGTTGTGCTCTTAGAAGTCAGCTAAGCTATAAGTGATGAGCTCCTACAATGCTGCCTGTGCTGCAGCAGCTTTCCGAAAGCGTCAGCCTTATTGGGGCTATTACGTAAAACACCTGCATAAGCAAACAAGAAGGCAACTGGATACTTCAGCCTGGAAAAATTCATGATGCCTCAATGCTTATATGAGAGTCAACAGCAAGAAGAAAATCCACCTCCAGCCAGGCATTAGCAAACAGCTACTCAGAGTTAGGAAATACTCTCTTCAGAAGTTTCCTGAACTTCTAAAATACCATGGCAATTTGGTTGCAGAAGTGACTCAAGCAAAACTCCTGGTCTGGGGTAGTCTGATCAGCTGTGTTTAGTGGTGCTCGCTGGTTGGAAGATCACCTCTTAACTTCATTTAAAAAAACCCACCTGACAATTGTTTGAGGAAAAGGAGGTCTTTCTGCCAGGATCCTGTACTCTTGTTTTGCTAAACAAATATTACTTGTTACAGTTTCACTAGAAGTACTACTGGTGCTGGCCTTTTCAAACCCAGTTATTTTAAGCGTGCCTCTTCAGTTCTGGACAAATGTTACTGTAAAGCAAGGCTTATGCTTTTCTTTCCAGAAATCTACACGTTATACTCAAATACAGTTTGTGGTGCAACGTACTGAAGTAAGGTAAGGGTAAAATGCAATTCTTATAACTGTTCTGTTTTTCAGGTAAAGTTCAGGAATAATACAAAGGAAAGCAAATATTTATGACCTAAAAAGCCTAACAGGACAAATGTGTAGATTGGGGATTAGGCAGCACAGTGTTTGCAGTATCCAATTCCATTTATTGCACCACTTGTTCTAAGCTGCTCCCATTTCTCAGACTGGCTCTGGAGAGGCGCTGCTGAAACCAGCACCTACGCCGCCTCCAGGTCCGTCCTCTGAGGGGGCTCTTTGAGGAGCCTGGTACTTGTTCCTGCAGCTTGGTTTTCAGTCAGCCATAGTGAGTGTGGTGAAAGACATATGATGGGGCCTAATGGGCAAAAATTCTAGTTTTCAGTCTATTAATTGCTGTGGGTAACTTTCAGTTTCCTCAGAGAACAGTAAAGAACAGCTAGATGAATGTATAAATCTGTGAAGAGCCTATCTTTGGGCTGCCAAGCTACTTCCCCCAGGCTGGGGAAGTTGTCCTGGAGAAATCTGTGTCATTCAGAGTGCTCAGCGTAGGGACCTCTGCAGGGTGGCTGGGGAGGGCATGGGGCCACAGGCCATGTGCTCACTGGGCCCTCCCCATGCTCTCCAGCCACTGCTGCCCGCTTCAGAGGTGGGCAGTTGTCCTGCATCTAGGGTAGAGATCTTCTGGCTTGCATAGGTGGCTGAACTGTTGGCCAAGGCAGGAAAGGTAATGAGTCACATCTATTGATTGCTTTTTGCAGCAGGATGTTTGATTAAAACAAACAGTAGCCTTATGCTCGCGAAATGAATGGCGTAATTAGATGCTATCTGTTTTCCATTACTCTGTACTCTGAATAAAAACATGCATGTAAGATCGATCTGCGTATTTAAATGACATGGCATTTCAATACAGACTTAATGCTGATGACTGTCACTGAAATGGACTCTAATGTCATTATTAATAGTGTCTTAGAAGAAAAGACTAAAATTATGCTGAACAAGCTGTCCTCATAGAAGAGGTAAAAGGAAGTTTAATGTTGTAGAGCATTGGTGAACTAACCTGCTCTGCATCAAGGTGATTGATAATAGAACAGGGGTGGCAGGAGAGGACAGAGCTGCAGATGCCCAAACCCAGACCTCAGCCTGGTCTGCACAGCATCGTGCTGCCTGCAGAGTGGGGAAAAGGGGCTACGTTCTTTGCGTACCATCCCACTGGGCCTCCATCAGGATCACGATGCAAGTCATGTGTTTTACGCTGCTGGTCTTTGCATTTAGGTGATCCTTATGAGAGGAAAAGAACTTGCAGTAGTTTTTTGCTCCAGTCAGGAACAGCAATGGCTACAGCCCAGGTTACTGGTGGTATACAGCAACTGAGGTGAGGTTTTGGCAATTGAGCACAGTCCCAGAGATGAGAGGAAGGGGTCTGACAGAAGTGAAAAGAATTAACAGCCTCTTTTGCCTAGATACCACCACAGGTGACCAGACAGCTCTGTCTTCTGCTTTTGTTATTCCTTCTGCTATTACTTTTCTATTTCTGGCTATAAATGTTCTAATGCTGCAAAATTAGCTATCCTGCGTGGTACAGGGAGAACCTGACCTTGTCAAGTATTGCATGTACTAGACAGGAAAGCACTGAACAAGATTTTCCAGCTTGCTTCCTTTCTGTTAAATCTCAGAGGTTTTTCTACTTGCTTTTCTCAGCCTCTTCAGTGCAAAATCAGGAAGCATTTGAAGGAGCACAAGGTGAGAGACAAAGCTGGCTGAAACACCTTAGAGTTCCTTCTTTTTAGTGGGAGGGTCGGCTGAAGTTCTGGGTCTTCGTTGCATGGCTATGTTGAAGAGGCACGTAAGGGAAGCAAGTCACAGCCCGTCTGTTTAAACTGTTGCTGTGAAGTACAGAAAGTCACACCAGTTTAGTTTTCCAGTGCTTGCATCCCTGCACGCTGTGGATTTCCTGTGGCTATGTCTCACCACGTTCCCCAGTTGCCTGTAAGGAAGAACTCTTCCCTGTCTTGACATAATAGGTGAGAAAAGCACACAGGTAAGAGGCTTGTATTAAAGGTGCTCATTTTCTCATGTGCAGAGGCAAAGATGAGATGAGGTAGCTCAGAATATCACTGCATGAATTCTCATGATTAATTCTGTCATCCCTTTATGAAAGTGCAGAGTTCCAGAAGCTGAAGCCATTTAACTTAAATCCTTCAATCTTTGCTCCGGTTTTGGTGTTTCGTTTGTTGGGGTTTTTTGGTGTGGGTTTTTTTTGGTTGGTTGTTTTGTTTTGGTTTTTTTTTTTTTTTTTTTTTGTGTGTCAAACCTTCCTGTGCTAACCATTAGTTGTTTCCAGTGAGCAATAAACCTGAACTTACAATATCAGTAAATAGAATAGCAATAACAGACGTTGTCTTGAAATGCCAGAGCCAACTTCAGTTTGTCTGAGGTTTTCCTGATTTCACTGGATTATTTAATTTATGTAATCGTGATTCTAGAATATACTCAAGCATTTGGTACTTGACCCCTTCTGGCAGCCCAGTGCCCATAGCAGAGCTGCACCTGCCAGAATTGCTTTCTGCTGAGATCCCAACCATTAAATTTTGCAGAAGGAGCTGGGCACTTAGTACAGCTGGGTTTTGCAGTGCCAGATGCCAGAGCTACAGAGGAGCTGGAGGCCACAGCACTGCTCCTGTGTGTACTTAAACAGCGTGACAAAGCTTGGTGCTAAAGACAAGCTCAGCACAACCTGCTGCCCAGCCTGTAGGGACTGCTGTGCTGAGACTAAACCCTGGAGTTGAAGTTGTGGGGGGTAGGAGGGGGCAGGCAGGGGTCACCCAGTAAAGCTTCTTAAAGGCAAATAGTTCATGCTGAATAAGCAATGTCACCAGTGATGAAAAAGTGACTGTGGTAAATGCTGACTTTCACACCCCTAATTAGCTTGCTGTCTTGGATTGGTAATTCAGCTGAGCAGTCTTGGATCAGTTGGTCTGTGGGGGAAGGAGGAGAGTCAAGCTTTCACAGATGATTTTTAATGGCTAAGAAAAGTTGTCTCAAATCATAGCTGAGGCTTTTCAGAGATGTGATCTAAGCTTGGTTAGCCCAGCTCTGTACTTGATATTCACTGCCTCAGATCTTGAAACAGCTAAACAGGTTTTGAGTTCATCCTTTGCGGAGAGAGGGGCAGGAGAGATCTGAACAGGCAGAAAGCACGAGACAGCGACAGTGCATGGTGATACACCGTGTGCCTCAGCGGGCTGTAGCCTCAAGTCCGTGGTGATCATCCTTGGTCAGTGTCAAGTGGTCTCTTGGCTTCTTGCTGCGTGTAAGGAGAGTTGCTTTTGCAGGATTAGCTCAGCAGTGCAAGATTGCCTCGTTTGATGCCCCGGGTGAGTGGCCCCTGGGACTTGCACCCCTTGTCTGCTCTCAGGGCAAAGGGCTGGGTGAAGCCAATGGCACCTCCAGCAGGGAGTGTCCCTTTCTGAGGGGCTCATGTGCCACCTGCAAGTTTTGTTTCCCGAATTTTCCCAAACACAAGTCCTGACTAACCTTGTTCTCAAAACAAGGTTAAAGCAAAATACAACCTAGCTGCAAGGTGCATTTCCAGGGCTCTGATACGCTGCAAGTTTGCCCAGTGACTGTGTTTGTCCTGTTTGTCAAATGATACGATGTCCTGAGCTAGTGTGAATTGTGTAACTGACTCTTTGAAATGAATTTTCTGTAACAGTACAGGTTAAACTCTTGCTAAGGTTAGAAACATTGTTAGGAAGCGGCACTAATTGATGAGAAACTGCAGTGGGATTGCTGAGAAAGGGGTGTATATACACCAGAATTTAAACTGTGCTTCCTAATTACCAGGAAAACACCTCTTTCCTTTCCCCTTGCCCAGAGGTGACCAGTCTTCTTTTACCTATGAAAGAGCTGTGAAGCAATAGCTAATCTTGTCAACTAAGACAACAAAGTACTTGGCACCTGCGAGGGTAGGTGTTTATTGGCCACGGTGTGCTCCTTCAGAGACAGAGGAGGGCTGGGTTGGGAGCAGAGGCATGGTCAGGTGGGGTGCTGTAAAGGAAAATATCCAAATAGGTGCAACATCTCCTCAGGCAGGGTGTTTATCCCTGTGCCCTGACAGAGGATGCAGTGCACCTGAGAAATCATTTTGCGTTTTTATTTTTGAGATAAAACTTCTGACTTCTGTTCAGAAAAGTTCCTAAACTATTCTACAGCTTTGTTGATTAACCCAGGTGCCTTTGGAGCAGGATGCTTTGCTGGAGTAGGTACTTCATTGTGAGAGACAACTTGTAACTCTCCAAAACAGAGACTGAGAAAAACAGCCTGGGAAAGAGATAAGGGATGGGGAGGGAGCAGAGGCCCTCTGAGCCAAGGAATGTATCAAGCTCTCACAAGTAACAAAACTATAGTCACGGGTGGATAATGTGGAGGTTAAAGCTGATAAGACTGCCTGGCTGGCACAGGATGTGGCTGGGGAAGGGGGCCCTGTGGAGGCAGGACTGCTCTGCTCTGGTGCATCTTGTAAAGTTTCAAGGGCCATCTGTCCAGTGAATGACCTTTGCTTCATTATCCATGACATGCATATGAAAGTTGACACCCCTGATATATAGAAATGTAGATAGAAAGGAAAAAGAAGATGTGAAGAAGATGGATGCATCCCTGATGAACTCGGGTGAGACCACCACAGTAACCTGGACTGGAAATCTCTATTCTCTCTATATCTTCCCCCACCACCACCTTTTCCCTTATTAAGTAACGCAAGTCATACTGTATTGCTTGCCATAATTCATCATACACTTAGACAGTTATTGCATATCCAATTAGTATATTGTGGGCAATAAATAAATGTCTGTGCATGGACTTTGAGACTTGTCTCACTGTTGTCCACTCCATCAGGGATTTACGAATCTAAGTCAGTTGTCTCCTTTGTCTGAGTGGGATGTGACATTCATCCAGAGGAATCTGAAACAAAACCATAAGTATGAAAAAGTTGGCAAAACTGAGAGCTGTTCCTTACCAACTGGGAACACTGGACGTGATACAAGTCTGCATAAAACTTAAGCACAAATCTAATTCAGTAGTGAGTTTCCTAAGGCTTGTCCTAAATATTTCTATTGGAAAGGAATGGGTACATCTAGTAAATGTAGATGAAAACGTATGTGAAGCATCTGGAGTATTTCTGTATTGTTCTAAAAATGCATGTGGCTTCCTTTAGCCATCTGCTTTAAAGATACCTTACTAGGAGTGAATGAGTTAAGGTTGCCTGAGGGGTGGGACTGGAAGGAAGTTACAGGATGATAGACATGTCCAGCTAGCAGGAATGATTTGTTGCCCCTGGACATGGACACAGGAGAAGGTGAGTCTTTAATGTTGAAGGGCCCACAGGAGCAGAACACTTGTGAATTGCATGAATATGAAAGGAAACAAAGGCATATTTAATCTGTGGGACCTTTTTAAAGGTCAAAATGCAGCACACTCTCAGGGAAGTTACTGGAAGAAAAACTGATATAGTAGAAAACCAAAATGCAGGACTAGGAGTAGCAGTATGGAGCTAATCTGCTCCATTGATTTATATTTCCAGTCAGTGTTTATGTTGTAAACAAATACTATTTGAAGACTGGGTATCACTCATAGTTCACTTTTCCTTGATAAGAGCTCTTTTTTTTTCTAAAGAAAACCAGTCCTTGTTATGGCATTGGCCCATGACTTCTTGTCAAATTCAGAATCACAGAATAGTTGAGGCTGTCAGGGACCCAGAGATCACGTAGTCCAACTCCTTGCTCAAAACTGGGTCAGCTACAGCAGGTTGCTCAGGACCATGTCCAGTTGGATTTTAGGTATCTCCAAAGGGTGGAGACTCTACAGCGTCTCTGGGCAACCTGTTCTAGTGCATGATCACCCTCAGAGTGAAAAACATTGCGGGATTTTTCTCCTTCTCCTCCTCCTCTTGCATTGTCTTATGTTCAAATGGAATTTCCTGTTTTTCAGACCGTGCCCCTTTCTTCTTGTCCATTCTGATAACGCTGAGTAGAGTCTGGCTCCATCTTATTTGCTTCCTCAAATCATACTTCCCTTGTTCTTTTTATTCAGTTTCACCTTCCAAATATAGGAGATGACTTTCCCGGATGTGTTTTGCTTATATGTTTTTGCTAATACCAGAAATGCCATATAAGACATCTCGCTCATCTTGGCTTCCTTAAAGTACTACAAATATCTGTGGTCTGATCCTGCTTACATGACATGCAAAGGGAATCTCAGAAGAATGTCATAAGTGCCAAGGTAAGAGCTTTTAATACCCATGCAAGATGTAATGTAATCAGTATAAAATGCAGGTGTTGGAAAACTAAGTGAGACTTAAAACCTGAAAAGCTGAAAGCCTTACACACTTACCTGTAAGAAATACTGCAATATTAAAGCCTCCCCTTCCATTATTCACCTGTAATGCACAACTTGATGTTTGCAACTGAAATGCAAAATTAGTAAAGCGTGGCCCATCAGAGCAGCGCAGGGCAACCAATGGTCTTGTTTCTTCCAACATCTTCCAACAATGGGGAACTAGAAAATCCATAGAAAAAAAGGACACAAATGGGGTACAACAGAGAGATGAATCAGGCTGTTGTACTAAACACTAATAGAAATAATTGCTGATACTTGTTTGCGTTCTGTATGGATAAGTCAGCAAAGATCTTGAGCTATTTGGATTATGAATTGCAGAGAGTGAAAGTATTCAAAGCTGCGAGGGCAGGTGTTTCCAGTCATTAGCTGAAATGGCTAATAAAAATAAATGTCATGGAGAAGCTCCAAGCCTCAGTGCATCTGTAGTGCTAGTGTGGGGCTGGGTGGGATATAAATTGCTCTAAGCTGAACTTCTGATAGGCGTGAATATTTAGTGCATGTGATGCCAGACACTGGAAGAATTGGTATCAGTTTCCTGTGGAGAAAAAGATCTGTGTGCCTGGAGAATAGGGGTGGGATGCAGAATTTGAACCAAACTTTGTTAGGAACTAATTTGCTTGCAGTCAGTAGTGACTGAATACCTTAACGAGAAAGGTCATAAACCAGTACCACCACCACCCCTGCCCCTGCAAAATGGGCAGTGTAGTATATTTATTACTAGGTACTCAATTACTCTTTGTTATCTTTGAGGAAACTAAGGACCTGGTTATCAAGATACATGCCTAGAAGGACTTGAACTTTTTGGGCTTTTGTGTCTAAGCTTAAAATAGTGTCTGAAAACTACCAGTGGTAAAATTGGTGTGCATAGTATCTGCAGCTGGTCAGCAGTTGCCTTCTCAGGGTGATTTGCATAGTGTTGACAACCCCTTAAACTGAACTGATAGAGATAAGTAGCAAGTCATCTGGCACTTGATTTGAGTAAGTTTTATTATTCAAACTGCTAAAGCTGAATGGGTAATGTATTTGTGCTGGACTCTAGTAGTTTCTGACAGTGGCCAGTGGGAGTTCTTTCTATAACTTTTTTTTCTTGTAACCAAGAAGCAGCCTGCTCATGTGGAGAGCTTTGGGCAGCTTTAACTGAGAATGCCACCACAGCAAATGTGCAAATTCTTGGCAAGCCTTTTTAATCACTTTGTGCAGTTTAACTGCATGCTGTATTCCCTTCTGGGGCAGACAGCATGACTGGCTCAGGTACGGCACTGGTATTAGGTGTATAACCCTTTTGACAAGCTGTAGGAGGGGATGTTCCCTGCTTCAGACACAGGAACAACATTCAGTTTAGGGTAACAGATATACAAACCCAGCTTCCTATGTGACTGTTATTTCTCACCTGTAACAGTCAAATTACTTGGTAGCTTTCCTAACAGTGAAAATAAATGGACTGATACATTGCTTAGTGGAAATCTTGCCTACACATTGGTTGATCTGCCAAATAAAACTGTGGCCTCCCTTCTTCTTGAATTGTGAATAAGGCTTAGAGGGGCAATGGTGCAGGAAGATAAAAACAGAAATAGTCCAGGAAGCCACCCTTTGCTCTCATTCGTAAGGTTTCCCACAGGTGGATTGTCCTGTCTGTGTCTAATTTTAGAGCCCGGCTAGGGGAGCCCAAACTGTCTGCAGTTTCAGGAGGGAACGGCTCCAAAGAGGTGTTTCTGTAGATGGCAGAGGAGCCACACAGCTACCTATAAGCAACAGCTCACCCTGATGCTGGGGAAAGGAAGCCAGAGGTCTGGCTGGAATACAGGCAACTTAAAGGGAGTCATTCAAGAAACTAACATCTGTATTGCTTATAACTGAATAAAGTGTCTCTCGAAGACACTTATGTGGGTTTTTTTCTGGCTCTGGTTCTATAGCCTGCAAACATCTGTCACTCAATTACTGCCTAGAGAGAGAAAGAAGTCTAATCTGTTATAGGGCACCTTTGCATTAGGTGAATAAATGCTGTCACTGGTTGTTAAATCAGTGTTGGAGGTGGCCCTAGCAGAAAGGTTGAGAATGAGGATACAGCTCCCTGCTCAGTCATACCTGTCCCTTTCATGTCATCTTTGGGTGTTCTAGGTAAAATGTTTCTTTTGAGAATACCTTGAGATAAAAGTTGTGCTGCAACTAATCCTGCAGAGAGAAACACAATGATTTTTAACACAACTACAGTGAATTATGAGTCTGGCCATGAACCTCTTTTTAAAATTCTGTTTTTTAGCAAAAGATAAGAATATTCTCCTGAGAAGTACAGCTGCACTGGGATTGCTGCAGGGGGATTTATGTTGCATCATCTGCTTGAAAAACAGTTGCAGATATCATAATTGATGATCTGTGCATCAAAGAAACCCAAGCCTTGCTTAAAACTCGTCTACACATCCTCTAGACAGCAAAGTTTATTCAAGGTGAGAGTCTAAAATCACATAACTTTTCTTTGCACCCACTTTACAGAAAGGCAGAGAGCTTCACCTGAGGGTGCTGATAGAGGAGCTGCCATCTAGGAACTGCACAAAAGGCATGGCAACGCTTAGCAAACGCTCCTGCTCTGATGCAAAAAAAAAGTAGTAGGAAATCAATTAAGTCTCAAAATGTTGCCTTTGTGGAACCTACTGAATTGTGACCCTAACCTTCTGAAATTACCCAGTAAACTTTAAATGAGGGTAACATTCCTTCAGCTGACCGTGTACTAAAACCAGATGGTGTCTTGCTAATGGAGATGTTATTGAGTGAAGAGCTGTCTTCTGCAGGCTACTAAAATATGTGAAAGTTGCTCTGCTCTGTTCCTTGTGTCTTCAGTTGATCTTGTTGTGCTATTGAGAGAAACTTACTACTTTTGGAAGACCTATCTGAACAGCTTAAAACATCTACATTTTTAAGGCCAACTTGATTGTATTAATATTTCATCTTTGCAGTCTAAAGTTGAAGCCAGTGTTCTAGGCCTGAGGACATGGTTCCAACACAAGTGGTTCCTGTACTACCTGGTACATTTGCTGTGTTGAAGAGATCACGAGCATGAGTTATACATAGGTTTAATTTATGAGAAAGTATTCTGATTTCATGTAGCTGTTGAGATGGTTCACTGTTTGCTGCTCATGCTTTGAGGTTAAGAGGCACTTGCCCCTTCCCTTGCAGTGTCTACTAGCTTGCTGGTGCATTTTTGATTTTTCACTACTGGAAGAACTGAAACAATAAAAGCTTACTTAAATTAAAAATATAAATTATGGCACAGACAGAACAATTCTGGCTAACATAACAAATACACCTCAGAGTACAACATTTTTAGAGTGTGTCCTGCTTATGGTTTAATTATACCATTTTGTTCCATCAGTTCTGTGATTTGATAGTTCTAGGGAGCAAGTGCCCTTTCAGTAAACACCCCCTATGCTGGGCTGGGGGCAGCGCATGCTGACACTGGGAGAAGCCCTCTCTGGGTGGCCACCCCAGCGCGCTCCCGAGGCTCCAAATTGTGGTTGTTGCATTCCTTTAGGATGTAATGGGAGCTGCTGTTGAAGGATTAGCAGGCAGGCATACAAGCAGTGGCTACTAAATTAAATTATTTATAATAAACAGAAAACACTGTCAACAAACTGATAGTTATTTCAAGGGTAAATTCTGTAATGACATAGCTGTGTTGCAGTGCAAAGTCTTACCTAATGTATTATTAGCTGATACCTTGCTCTTTTATCAACTCTCACTGTTTCAAAGGTAAGTCCCCCTAATCTTCATCTCAGACTTCTAGCACATCACTTCCCTATGTTTTCTGACTCTTCTTTCCTGGAAATTATTGTCTTTTTCCATCTCCCTCCTTTGCATACAGTAAATTCTTCTTTTCTCCCTGCTGTGTCTTCTGTCAAAAATCTTTTTCTGCTAAGGACAGAGCTGACTGCCTATTTTCCTCTACCTTTCTCCACATCTCCATCTCCCTGCCCTCTCCTAAGGTTTTCTGCCTCTTAGCAAGGGCTTTGTTTACCTTTGGCAATGTTGTCTTTGCTCCAGAATTACCGAGCTCTAGATAACATATTTTTCCACTTGGACTAATAAAACTGGGGCATTTCTAATTGTGATATGAAACAGATGTCATGCCTTGTAAGTGGTATGGCTTCACATATCTCCTGTTTCCAGCAGGCAATTCCATCCAAAGAATGGACTGGTAATATCTGAGCACCTGGAGTGAAACTGAAAGTGTGAGCTTCAATGCAGATTGTTGTTGCTTTATTTAAATCTAAAGCTCCAGGACAAGGGCAATATTGGTACATAGTAATATAGCCCAGTTCCTATAGCTCTTTTATTGGAAACGTTATCCTTTTTACATTGGAGATAGCCTCAAAAGTCAAAACAGTATTCCCTTTACTAATGGTTGGACTGATGTGCACACAAACTGAAAAAGTAACACTTCATAATGCAGAATGCTTCTCGCTATTATTTTACATGATATCTCTGGACGTGTAAGTTGTTACACACAGACCCTGAATAAAATAACAGGGCTGGCTGATGTCGAAGAGATGACTGCCTTCAGTGCTGGTGTTACCTGCCCTGTGCTCTCCAGCCCTCTCTGGGAAGGCTACAGCACACAGTGGCTGTTTATTTTTTCCCCTCCTGAGCCATTTGCTGCCAGGGCAGGCAGCCTGATACTGTTGTAGGCACAGGTCTACTTGGCCAGTGCCTTCAGCTAGCTTTGACTCTATCAGCTATTTTCAGATACCGTACCTGAGCATTAATCTTTGATGTTACAGCTTATTTTGTGTTTTAGTTCTGAAGATAAAAGATGGACTCTTTTCTGATGGACCCTTTGACCTCCAGCATCTCCAAGTCTGGTATCTCCCCTGCTTAAAGTGTATCAATGAAAATAATTTGGCAAGGCTGAAGGCTTGCCTCTGATAAATGACTAGTGCACAGCATGAGATTCAGCCACGGTCCATTTCTCTGCACATTACACTTAAGTTAACAAGATTTTTGACTGCATAGGCTGCAGGAGTAAGGGCTCAAAGGATGAAAAGACTTTCAGTATGTGATAAAAACATACCTCAGTTAAAGTGGGATGTATAAAAAAATTAACCCACATCTTATCTGCACTTAGAAACCACTGCTGTCTAAATAGGATATAATCAGTTTCAAAGCAAGAAAGGATATCAAAACGCTGATATTTATAAAAAATGGAATGAGAAGTTGGATTTGTTTTTTTATAGAGAGTGATGAAAACTGACTGTCATTTGAAAGATCAAGGGAGATAAACCCCATTTTAAAAATCTCTCTTCCTTATTTTCTTTATTCTATTATAGCAGAGAAGAAACAGTTTTCCTTGTAATCATGGTGCTGTTTATGATCCTGGTTATTGAATTTAATTTGCAATAAGGTCTTGAGAAGCAACTTTAAAAAAGTCTTTTCTTAATTTTGAGCTCTTCTGATGCTAGAACCTGTTAAATAGGTCAGTATTTTTGTGTTTTATTTGAGGGTTCTGTAATTAGGTCCTTGTCTGTCAGATGCAAGAACAGAGAAGTCTTTGCTGTTTTTTGGCTTTTTGGTTAATTTTCTTCAGCACTTTCCTAAATTCAGTTTCTTTCTTCAAGGTAATTCTAATTGCATGACCCAGAGTGACAGCAATTTAAAAGTGAAGACAGGAGTTGTTTAATGTTTTTCTGAAGCGTGACTCTGAACCCTCATTGCAAAGCAATTTACTAGATAAACATACATTATTATCTTGTACATGTAATACAGCTAAGTCTGAGGAGAAGCTTTTGCCTGGGATACATCAGAAGAGAAAATTCTTTTTGCCCTGCTCTCAAATATATCGGGCTTATAGCTACCACGTAAGTATCTTTTTTTCATTATTATAAAAAGGTAGATCTGAGTTAGTGGTAGTGGCAGTAAGAACTATATTCCTATGTGTGATGGGAGAGGAAGTTTACCTCCTTCTGTGCTTTCCATCAGTCTGTCTTCCTCTGATACTGTACAGCCTTCTCCATGTGCCTCAGTGTGCCCTCCTCTTCATCCCCATGTCGTTACGTTAGGGTTATTTGAAGGGCTGGACGCTTCAGATGTGGGCTACATGCAGAAAAACAGAGTAATCTGAAGTTGACATCTGTGTATGTAGACTTAAGTGGATAGATCCAGCTGAGTAAATGGAAAATTGTGTTATTTTCGTCTATCACGTTGTACAGATTATGAGATAAAAGAAAAAGGAGAAGTAGTGTGTATGTGCCATACGTCCCTCAAGAAAATGTAGGTATAATGAAGCAACAACAGAAATCTGGGTCTATTAAAGGGAGGCTTGGGCCTTGAAACAAAACATGAAATATCTCTAAGTAAAGGACTTAGAAACAATTTTATGAAACAGCTAATGAGAAAAAGATTGTTTTCTAGTGAATACATCATGAAGAAAGCTGTGGAACAACCCCAGTTTAATTCACATTTAATGACATAAGCATTTTGGGCTCTGGAAAGCTACTGAATTGTCACATAAGTGTCTCACATTGCCCTGGTGACGATTCTGAAAACGTGGGTAACAATTGTCTGCTTTGGAAACAGCTGGCAGCGTGCTGCAGCTTGCCTTGTTAGTGGTGCTCTTATACACTGAGTACTTGTTAGCTACATAAATGTGGTTAAACTAACAGAGGTGTGTGCTACCAGAATTTCTGTAAACTACAAAAGAAGGAGAGATAAAGATGTAAATGGAAAGGAGAGAAATTCAGCACATCACGCAAAACTCTAGTCCTGTAGGTTTCTTCTATGCCATGTCTACTTCAAAGTCACAGAAATACAAACATTAACAGAATCCACTGACTGAGTAGGACTTGCTCAGGTATATGAAGCAGAAATCATTTAATAAGGAAACTGGTGATATTAAAGTACATCTTAAAATGCTATTATTGACCTCCTACTTTAATGGAGCATTGCAATAGAAAACCTTAGGAAATAAAATGAGGCCTCCTTATATCTCCCATGAATTTAAAATGGCTCTAGGAGAAAGAAAGAAAAAAATAAAATAAAAAAGGCAATGCCATACTGGTGTCAAACTAATTTACCGGGTGAAAAAAGGTGGTGGAGTTGCTGGTTCATGATGCACCTTTACCATATGTTCTTTTTCTCTTCTTCCCCCCCAGTTTCTGAAGCTCTCTATACTGGCATTCATAAATGTTTTTCATATTAATGGCTGATAAATGTAATAGAATTCTGTTCTGTACATGTAAGTGGGAAGCACGCAGCCAAGTTCTGCATTCCTGCTCAGTGCACATGGAGGCAGATTCTAATTTATGCTGTCGCTGAGTAAGTCCAGGCACCAGTGCATTGTCACTATTAATTTAACAAAACTTAGAAATGACGCCCCAAATGATAGCTAATGTCATGTTGCTTCACTCTTGTAAGTGTGTATTGGATGTTACTTTTAAGGAAGAGCAAAAGAATGAAAGCTTGTTTTTCTAAGTCAGTCTGGCAGCTAAAAAAGGAGGTTGCATATTTCTGAATTTTCCCACATTGGTACATAATTGCTCAGGTGTTGTGTCAGCTGCTTGAAGCAGCTTTGGCCTGCAAAGGGCAAAGGAGAGGGTAACAGCTTCCCCCTGTGCAAGATCAGGGATTGAAGATCAGTATGATGTATAATCAGGATGAATGCTTATCTCATTCATTCATGGTTACAGACATCACCTAGCCACACTGCCAGCACCACCAGGATTACTTGAGATGTTTTGGAATTAACCATTGCATCACATCTGGGATGCAGTATCCTGCCTCTGTGTGTACCCTGGGCAAATGTATTGAAGAACACTTTGCAACTGTAACTATGTGCCTGTCAGACACTTAATTCCATGAGCTGCTGCTATTTCTTGGTGCAGCTTTGACTTACCAAACAGGTTCTTGAGGGAAGGTTGGCAAAACAGTTTGGTTCAGCAGCTCTGCCGTTAACATACTTCCCAGACTGCAGCAAAACTGTCAGACCATTGGACCTGCCACGTAAACAAATTAACTTGATACAAAACTGCTTTTAACCTGTAATTTAATGTTTTTCTGGGGGAAATTGCCAAATACTCATTTCACATAAACAGATATGTGAGTTGTTACAGTTGAGTATGTTTATTGTACATGGCAGTTCTTTTTAAAACACACATGTTTAAACAGATGGCTTATATTGACTATTAATGCAGTTCCTGCGGTTAAACTCAGTCTGAATGAAGTAGATGGAGACTGACATTCTATTGACATCAGAACTGGTGTATTGCATCTTCTCCTTATGAATGTTCAAATTCAGATCTGCTACTACAGCCTTACTGAAATGTCAACTGTGATAAGTCATGATGTAACTGAAGAGGGGAGATAAGGTACCTGGCATCTTGTTAATTTACTTTTTGACTGGGATTTACTACTTGCATATTCATGTTGCTATGTTTCAGAAGTGAAAGACCATGTTAAAGCAAATCACTGTAAATAAACATAGAAGTAGGGTGAAACTTGGCTCTCTGTCTCTATAGATGTGGTGGGCTTACAGCACAGGCAAGCTAACTTCCACCCTACAGGGAACCCAAACGTGTGGTGGTGCTGTGCTCTGCTCACCATACTGCCCACTGAAGCAGCTGCGTGGCCCACAAATGCTGCTGTCAGCTTATGGTCCGGCAGGCAAGGCAGCTGTGCCAGAAAATAGGAATGGCCATACCTGTAGTGAAACCCAAAGCTCCTCTTGTGCAGGGTCGTGTGGATGCAGGATATTGCAGTAGTGACTGGCAGAGGAGGAGTGTGAGAGCTGCACAGGTGACACAGCCCAGACTACAGAGCTGAGGCTGCTTTGGGGCTTGCTGACCTACAGCCCATTTCGTTGTGTCTAATAGTGCCTGACAGGTTTCTCCTCTAAGAATTTGTTGCAGAGCTTTTGGAATTGATGTAAACATTCATTCCTGAATCAAAGTGTTTCATGCCTTGGCTGTATGTTACATGATAAAGTGTCTCCCCCTTCTTTTGAACTTGCTACTAGCTTCATTTGATCATCTGCAGGTCTTACACAGGAAGAAACACTGAACAATTATTCCCTATTCGCTGTTTTTACATCACCCATGATTTTGTAAGTCTATTCTATCATCCGATGTGTCTTTCAGCCTGAGGAGTTCTATGCTATTTCTGATGGAAGGAGTTTTTGTACCTATTTTTATCACTTTTTCCTCTATCACCTCAACAGTGTTTTACTTACCTATCTTAGCCATTTCTGGATAAACTTCTGCAGCAGGTAACATGTTGGCCCTGGAGCTGGAGTCCCACGGCTGCAGTTCAGCAAAGAGAGTCTCCAGCCCCCTGTGACCCACTTAAGAGATGCTGATTGTAGCTTCTGGAGTGACATAGAAGAGGAGGTATGGTCAGTCTTAGTGTAGCAGAGGAGCTGTTTAAAACAGCGTAACAAGCATGTCTTGTCTACTAGATACTGCTTAACTTTTTCTCCTTCTTTGGTACTCCCCCTAAAGCAAATTTAATCTTCTGCTACTTCTTCTATTATATTCTTCAGATAAATTTAGTAGTGGAGAAACCCACCAGAATATGCATTTCACATATGTCTTTGGATAGAGATGTCTTCAGATGTCCTTTCATTATTCAGTAGTAACTTTCTAAACATGCTGTGTAGTAATTACGCTATTTTGGTATCTGCTCTAGCAGGGCCTGTGACACACATTCTTGAAAGACCTCCAAATGTCAGTGCACGATGCTGGACAAGGCTGAGGTTGAAGCAGAACAAGGTCCCTTTTGTTTCCAAGTCTGGCACATCTTCAGCGTTACAGGGCTGGCACTGCATGGCAGTGAAACACTGCCTCCATGCTGAAATACCACAGTCAGCTGGAAAAGAGAGCTCATTTTCAGTCACACTAATGCAATACCCAGACAGCCATATTCAACAGTCTAATTAAGCCTGAACAAGAGGAGAAACTTGATACCTACAACCTGGAAAACAACTAATTATCCCTCTTTGAGTGGTCATTGCTGGAATTAAAAAACCCCACAGCATTTCTGGGAAAGCCTTAGGAAAGCTCTTTCAGGAACAACATGCAGTGCTTAAATTTCTTCCGACTTGCTTTTAACTAGCTTTAACAGAATTTACACAACAAGAATATAAGGGATAACTCTATGTCCCATTACATAAATTCTGTGAGCTTTAATTTCAGTGAATATACTGTAATAAATATGAACTTTACAAAGTTATTATTCCAGCGCTCCAGAATAGTATTCTGTAAAAAAAACAACCAACCAACCAAGAAACCCACAACAAAAAAAAACAACCAAAAAAATCCTAAACCCTAACCCAAACACAACACCTCACCTCACCTCAAACCGACCAAAAACCAAACCCACCCTTTCAGAAAGCCGGTGAAATAGCCTGGCTATAGCAGATTTACTCTCTAAAAAGCTATAGTTAGCATTTTAGTTGACATGGAACTCGAGGAAGGAAGTCTTAGACCCAAAGGGACAAACAGCCTGGACACTTTTTCAGTAAGGAGTAACTACAGCAACCACCAGGCACAGCTATTAGCTCTCTACATAAAGAGAGACTTAAAGTTAAGTTGTGCTACAGCTTGATTAAATATTTGTGAAGCTGATTTAACATCCGTTCACCAAGTGAACGTATAATGCTCTAAACAGCTGTGTAAAAATAACCTACAAAACCAGATTCTTGTTTTAACACTTTTTTGAAAAATGGCTCCAGAGCAGTACAGGTAATGCACAGGTACCAGAAACATTAGGAAGCTACAATTGTAGCTCAGGATGATGGTTATTCCCGTTTCTTGACACTTCTTGTCATCGGGTCTAGATTTCAGTCATTTGTAACTGTCAAATTATAAGTGTTTGGTCTCATGTTTTCTAGCCTGAATGTTAACCTCCAGCTGCATTTTATTGAGAAATATTGATCAAAAGGCACAGCATTCTCTAAGGGTTGAGTTTAAGAATGAGATCTTGGTTTTTAATTCTTGTTTCCACAGGCTTGGAAAAATTGTTCAAATACAGTATTGTCATGGTTCTTGCAGCAGGGATAGGCCTCTTGATCTTCTCATGCAAGATAGAAAGGTTTGATAAATTGCAATTTGCATATGCTCTATGCAGACTTAGATCTTAGTTGCTAAAATCTCAGTACGTCTTACCTGTTTTGTGCATGCTTGATAAAACTAATTTTTCTCATTTCTGGTCAAGCTGTGTGTGCATGAACTCTAGTGAGTAATTAAGCCTGATTCAGCCCATGCATGCAAGTAGAGTCAGGCTTTCCCTATCAAACCTGTTCTGGCCGCAGCACAGAGCTTGTCTTTGTAACTCTTACATTGATCCTCCTGCTAGAATTTAAAGGATGTGTGAGGAGGAAGAGTGAAGGCCAAGGGAAGGGTCGGGTCATCTCGGGGAGCTGGCAGGACATGGCAGCCCCCTGCAGCAGTAGGTAATGACACTGGTAAGATGGTGGTGGCTGGGGTGGGACCAGCCCAGCTGGCCAAGGAGTCAGCAGGAAAATAGCTCAAAGAACTGGGAGTCTGAGAAGACAAAAAAAGAGAAGAGGAGCAGGGAAGAAACAATGCAGTGGAGATTTGGGCTGGACCGTAGCTGCACTGGTCAAGGTAAGGAAACTAACAATAGCAGTAGTTTCTCAAGCAGCAAAGCCAGTTTATTGGTTTTGAGGAAGTTAGTTATTTTTTTAATGTGTGTTTTCTGAAAGTTAAGTTCTAAACCAAACTGTCTCAAAGGAATAATATTAACCATAGCACAATTGCTACTATATCCAGAAGCATCCAGATCTCTTTTGAAGCATAAGTTTCCCAAGTTATTTCTGAAGGCTACTGGAGAGGGAAATGGTTGGTCAGAGTGCTGGGGGTGGGTCAGGTAAGGCAGCCTGGATAAAAGTCACTTAGAGTCAGAGATAATCTGATGAACACTGCTTGTTAACTGTGTTAACATGCCTCCATTTAAGAACTTCTTAAATCCAAATTATGGAAGAAAGTGAAGGTAAAAATATTACATTATGGCTGTCAGAATTTTTTGAGTTTTACCCCCTACTATGTTAAACAAATGATGTAATTTTGCTGATGCCTTATTTTCAGCTTCCTGTTTCTAAGCTTATTGACATTTCTTCATGCCATGAAAAGGTAAAACTAATTTAGTGAGAGATTATAGAGTAGTTAATTTATGTTGATTTACGCAGTGATTCAGAGTCTGTCTGATAGTAAAAACCAATCTCTATTTCCTCTTGACTTGTGGATAAATGTGACAAACTTTCCACAGCCATACAGGTAGATTAAGGAGCCTTACAGATAAAGGAAGCAAATAAGAGTGCTACTCTTTAAAAAGTTGTATCATGGTTCAAAACAACAACTATCAGTCTAACCTTGTGACTGCAGAACATTGGTAGGATTCCTGTCTGTGCTTTCATGTCCTGTGCTGCAGGGTATGAGGATGGGGTGTCTTCCTGGCAGTGGCCCTAGTAAAGTACCGGCCATAAAGCCTGATGCTCAGATAGAAATAGATGTGAGTGGTGATCAGATGTTTAGGTGTTTTGTGGTTTCTGTTTTTTCCCCTCAACATTCTCTACAAGAGAAAAGATTTTGCTTTTTCCATCAAGCAGCAGTCTGTCTGCATGTAACAAATCACCAACAGTTTTTTTCCTTGCTTGTATGCAGAGTATGAACCGTCATTCAGAGGAAGACATCTCGTCAGGCAGCCTCTCCATGCAGGTGTTTTTGGCGTACTGGAGATGCCCTCTTTCTTCTCTATTTCAGTTGGCTTTGGCAACTTTGAGCGCATACAAAGACTCTGCAAGCAGGATGTACACACCTTCAAGTACAAAGCAATTATTTGTTGCCTTATGCACACAGTTGATAGGTGGGACTAAGAAGTTCCCAGGCCAAGGAGACCTGGCAGGGACCTGGCAGCGAGGGGGGGATGACCGTGGGCCTCCCGTGTTCCCTGGGACAGGCTCACCCTCAGAGTTGCTGAGTTGCCATCATTGATTCCCTGTTTTTTCCACAGGGCTTTGTGCTTTTCCAGGAAGTGACCTTCCCCATCTCAACAATCTTGCCTCTGCCTGTGACTTTTATTTTTCTCTGTTTGGATCTAGCTGACATACTGTCTCGCAGCTCTTTCTCACAATTTAGCAGTTTTCTCAGAAGCCTGAGTGAGGATTATGCTGCTGTGCTGTGCAGAACAGAGCCTGTGATTATGGAGAGCTCCAAAAGGAGGAGGGTAACAGTGGAGGTGCTGCCGTGAAGTCTGCATTTCTGTGGTTACGTCCTGAGCAGGTTGGTCTGGGGAACATGGCACACACTCCCACTCTTGTGCTGGCACAGGGCTAAGAGCCCGTAGCTTGGATTAGGTATGACTGCACAGAAACCATTTTGGAACATCATTAGGGAAGGCCAAAATTAATTCTCCTCATTGTCTAATATTAAGACAACACTATTTATCAGGGTCTAAAAAAGCCCCTGGTACTGGACAGTTTCTGCTTGCATTAGCAAAAGAGTTATTGATAAGTATCTTCCAGGAAAGTGCACATCCAGCATTTCTGATGGAGCAGAGAACAGGTTGTTCTCCTAGCTAAGCACTGAAATTTAGGGACAAACCTAAGCTCATAGTGAAGGAAAGGCAATCAGAGGATGTTACAAACCTGCTGGGTATTGATGAGTATGTAAGAAGAGTCTATGCCAAATATTTCAAACTCTAGTTTTATGTTATGAAAACTGATTAAGTCTTGGGGGGGTTGGCTTTTTTTCCTTTGTGATGTGTTTTGTTTTTTAATGCTAAGTATGTCAGCACTGAAATCCTATAAACTGAAATGCTGTGCTTAAAGTGAGGGGAGTTGAGGTAATATCATCTGTTGTAAAATCTGAAGGGTGACAGTGAAATGATAGCAGATGTAAGACTGAGAAACTCAAGGTACCCGGACGTACTGAGTAAACGCCATGGTGGGACACAGGACAGAGGAGCTGCTTCATTCTTCAGGCAGTCAGAGACCCACAGCAAAAAATACAAGACAGCTCATGAAATAAAAAGTTATACCAAAACGTGTTGCAAATGGATCAGGCTGTATAGTGGAGGAGGAGGTCAAGGAGAGTCCTACATGAGGGTCTGTCTTTATAGGGACTTGGTCAGAGGCACTAACTTTTGAAATGTATCTATAAACAGAACTATATGAGATTGTCAGGGTCACACAGTTTTCAGTGCTCAGCTGATGACTGGAAGACTGGACAGCAGATTGCTTGGAATTACCATGTTCTATTTTCTGTCATGTCTCATGGCTGTTCTGTGCCTATGCTCTTTGGCCAAAAACAATTGGACAGTACCTCTGGAACTTGTGGTCATCCTTCTATATTGAAAACATGTAAAAAATATGTTACTTCTAAGACTTTTCACATCAGTCATGCCACTTAAAAATCTTACTCACTGATTAGTCTAAACAGTGCTACTTTTTAAAGGAATGTGTTCCATTCATAGTAGTTGCACATCTCTTACCAATTGCCAGTGAAGTACACTTCCTGCCAAGCTTCAGGATAAGAGAAACTTTCATAAATTGCACTTACGTTATGAATTACATCATGTTGCTATGCACTTGAACCATTCAGGAAATATTCCCTTTCTTTCATAAAAGTCTTTGATCTGTTTCCTGGAAAAGAAACAGTTTTTATTTTTTCTTGGTTGTAGAGCAAAACTTTTTAAATTCAAGTTAATTAAAAAAGTATGCCAATTTATCTGCTATTTCCAGGGAAATTTATGGTTGTAGAAATTGCAAATCAGATTACCAGGTGCACACCACAGACACAGTCAATACAGGAAAAATACACTGCTAAAGAGGAACTGTTCTTCAGAAACAAAAATTTGGAACTGGGTTGTCGAGCACTCCTATTTTTGCAGGTTTCTAGGTCTTGTCTTATTAGAAAGCTTGTGCAGAGCCTTACCCTCTGGATGAGCATGCCCCTCATCTTCAACTAGGGTCACTCTCTGCCAGCATTGGCCTCACTAGCTCTTCACCCTCTACAGTATTTGTGACAGTTATGAAGAAAAGCTATAACCCTATCATGCTTCCGTTTTCTGGGCGAATCAAGACAAGCTCTTCTATTCCTCTCCTGTACAATATGCTCACCTGTTCTCTGATCATGCTACTAGATACGTTTTAATTCATCTTTCTTGCCAAGGGGTGACCTATTCTAGTGAAGGCCTTTGTTCTTAAAAATCCTAACTTGCGTTACATGAGAGACCTGCAAGGCATTATGAAGGCATTATCTAGTTCTGTGTTCTTTTTCTTATTTGATTACTTTAAATGAGAAAGGTAAATATTAACACCACAGAAGCACATCACAGGCTCAACTACTGTAAACTTAAAATCAACAATTTTATAATCAAACCGAAATGACAGTTGAGATTAGATCATGTGTTGCCAATTATCTTGCCTTAGTTCACCAGTTTATGAAGTCATAAAGTTAGTATGGTGTGTAATCAAAGTGTGTGCCCAACAAAGAGAAGAATTGTTATTTGTTAATTTTGCATCAGGTGTTTGAAAGAGGAGTCGTTTCCTTTTGGTAAAGGCCTATCTGTAATAGAGGGCTTCAGCAACCAGGGGATCGCCAGTGCCAGGGTTCAGTGAACAAAGGACATTGTCTGGAAGAGAGGATAAAGCCTGTTTAGCCAGTCTTAAGGAACTACAGAGATCTAAGATGGCCCTTTGCAGTCTTCTGCTTCAGCACTTTCTCCTGAAAATCTCATTGCAGTGGCAGAGCTATTGTTTACCCTCCTAAGTTATTACTTGCCTTTACCCATATAAGCACAAAGCTTGCCAAGGGTTTTGCAACGAGGTTTATTTCTGGATAAAAGTAGGTCAATATGGCCTACTTTCAGATGGCTCTTTTTTGATCTTAATTTAAACAACAGGATTATGAGCTAGGGTTTGCTTTTCAGCTAATTAAGAAATTTCTCTATAAACTGGTACTGTCTGATCTTCTGCACTGGCTGACAGTCAAGTTAGCTGTGCACTTTGGACACAATCTGCAGGACCCAGTCTGCTTCAAGTGGGAAATCTTTAAACTTAAGTCCTGTTCATCGCTTCATGCTAAAGAAGAAAATCCCAGAAAGGATCCATCTAACTTTTTCTAGGTTGGGTACTGAGAATCATACAACTGGAAACTTTTTTTTTTTTTAAATTTTATCTGAGAACATACAATAACTTGTGTGCAAAATGTATTTTTCAAGATAATTCTACATCCACTGAAGTTTTCCAATTTCTAGGTAATCTGAACACTCATTTATTTTCTTAAAAAAAATATATAAAATGTTGGACGTGTACCTTTCTAAGTCACCATCTCTTGTCTTTACTGTACGTAAATGGGTTGTATTTTAGAGTTTGACCTACTTGAGATCCAAGTCTAACATAGTATGGTTGTATATTCTTAGTGGTTCTTAAATATGCAGTAATAATAAGTGGTTTTCAAAATATTTTCTAAGTGAAAAAATGTATTTTTATACAGCTCAATAGCATTATCTATGAAAGATAAAAATTGGGAAAATTTTATTTTTCCAATTACAGCCTGAAAAACTCATTTATGATTGAGCTGACAGATGCCATTATTAATTATAATATGATTTTATCCTTTCCCGACTACACCAATTCCCAGAAATATTGTAAGTGGTGCTTCTGTACACAGTTTAACTCCCTAGTAAACATACCCATCTGCTCAGTGTTTTCCTTTGTGTATAACTTTTACCTCAGTGGTAAAAGCAGCTGACTGAGGGCATTAGGCAAGAAATACATCCGTTTCTACAGATTGTCTTGTTATAATGAAATCAGAAATCAGGTGATGTTAGTTTTATTCAGATGATACCTATGTTGACAAATGCCAGCTAGAGTTCAAGGATTTGGCTGACAGGAAGCTTCAGCGCCTACTACCCTAAGTACCTAAGTGCCAAGGAACATTTTTGTTTACTTCTGGATAGCTCTACCTTGGAGAGTGTTTCAGTTCAAAATGGCTTTTCTCAGAATTGCATCTTCTCAAAGTAGATAAAATTTCATGTAGTTATGGGCGAAATTGTTGTGTCATGGAAATTGTTATGACTCCACTGATTTCAGATTTTTTTCTTGTTCTCAAGAGAAGTAGTGTCATTTTCAGATTTGATCATTTCAATGGCAGAGGTATATATAGAGTGTTCGTATAAAGTTTAGGATAGTGGAAAAATCTTTCTAAATTCTGTTAGAGACTGGAGGTGGGTCCCTTTCATTCTGGTGACAAGTTTCAGAAGCAGGATGCTAGCAAAATTCAGCTCATCAAAGCTACGTATACTCACTGGCTCTGTACTTTGTACATAAAAATCTCAAGCTCCCAATTTTACTCCTGGGAATTTTACGATAGCAACTATCAGTTTCACAGGCCCCACAGCCTATAAAGGTGAATGAGTTGAATCAGGGCAGCATGGGCAGGCAGGTTACGAGATGTGCTGGAGATTACCATTTAGAGGTTTCAGCTAGAACAAAAACATTTAGTTTGGTATTTTAAATGATTTTTAAACTGAGATCAAAATAAAGAAATATTTGAACATGAGAGGTTTTCGATCTAGCAGTAGAATTCATGCATGTGCCCATGCAGCAAACCCATTTATGTGACTAGGATTTGGCATAATGTGTAAGGTAACAGGGCTCTTGATATGTGTCTGTAGTTCAAGATTGCTACTTTGAATTCTTAAAGTGCATAAAACAAAAGATTCATTGTTCAAATAGTCTGATTCGCACAGACTGCTGCAGCACAGCATGTGAGTGCTTAATTCATGTATGTGTTTAATATTTAACAGACTGCTTCTTTGTTATAGTAACAACAGGAAAAAAGTACATATAGTTTGCTGCTGTCAAAAATAAGGATGTAGAAGCATGGTAAGAGGCTCTTAATTTCTTTCTCATCTGCCAAGTACAACCTTTCACCTAAAAAAACAATCACCTGTAAAAGGTAGTTGCTATGTATTATTTTTATTACATATTATTAAATAGCTTTTACTTCCTTCTGATAAGGGACAGCTTACAATACATACAACCTAAAATACAATCTGTATCCATAAGCTTCAGCCTTCCCACGTCACGTATGCTGACTGTTCAGAGGGTTAATGTTTCATGAGAAAGGCAAGCTTATGAAATAAGGCTAAATCTATAAATAGTTTTATTATAGAATGTTGGTGTTTAGGGTTGTGGAATATGTTGAAAACGAAGTGTTTGTGTTTCCCAATATTTTCTACAAATAGTTAACAAATCATGTAGTCTAGGCCAGGTTGCCGTTACTGCTTCCTAAGCAGGATGCTTGAGGCTGTGGGGGAAATTCCCTTTTTACCTAAGAGGTCAGGAAGACTAGCATACAGCTAGAACTGTCAAAAAATCAACTTGAAGTGGATGTTGCCAAAGAACTTGATTCTTTGGCGTTTTTTTCTCTCTCTTTTTATGGAAAGTTTTTTATTCATGTGGTAATGAAGGACAAAGAAAAGGAAGTAGCACTCATTTGTAGGAGAGCTGTAACAAATAAGTAGCCCCTCTTCTGAGAAGGACACAGGTAGGGAAGGGAGCAATAGAAATGGTTTCCCTGGCTTTTCTTTGGCCAGGGTGATGCAGTCTGATGTTGAAGGAACATAATTAAGAGGGAACATGAGAGCTGGCTTTGCCCCACCCCAAGGAACTGACTGCAGCAGTTAATGGAGGGGAGGCTGCTGCTGCATGGTCTTTTTGGGACCACTGAGGCAGAGCTCAGGGAGGTGCTGTCATCTGCCACGCTCTCCTTTCTCATAACAACCACTGGGATCAGGGATGAGCACCCAGATTAGCAGTAGTGTATTTAATAGATTCTGTACAGATAGGACATGAATCTGCCTAGACTGTGTTGTCATTTAATCCTTCCTGAATGATAAAGTACCCATTACCAGTATTGGTCATACCATCCAGCTTTGGCTTATCTGCAAATTTCTTAAGTACCCAGGTTGTCCTGGAACTTCAGCTCTCCTTACTATTAAATATCAAGCATAGTGGACATCAATAGCAATCCATGAGGAACGCTGTTTTTATGAAAAACTATCACTTATGTGAGGGATTCTTTCCCATCTTCACAATTTCTCTCTGAACACAATGTGTTAAAATCTCCCCTTTATCCACTCATATGTATTCTTGTTCTCTCTATTTTCATGAAATGATTTAAAAATAATTTAAATATTTAAAATATTTTAAAAATTTAAATATTTTGAAAGTATAATTGAACTTTAAATAATATTTCAAAAATAGTGATTTGCCAGTGGGCACTGTATCAAATGTATTGCTTATATTTACCTAGATTAGGCCTACTAAATTCTTCTGGTCTGCGGAGCTAATTATCCAGTGAAAGCAAGATAGCAACTGATATGACATGATCTACTTTTGATAAATCTATGTTGCAAATCATTCCATTCTGGGGACACAGGCTTAATTTCTTTGATAGCTATACGGCATCCTCAGCCTAAAGTTTTCTCCCTGGCTCCCATCCACTCATATCCTAAACCAGGGCTATGTTCTAGCCATGGGCCTGCCTGGCTTGTAGTGCTGGGGGACAACAACACACGTAAGTAGGACCCAGTTTGGATATTAATTTGATGTGGAGAGGTTATGAGAGGCAG